GCAAGATGTGTATATGTGCCTCCTGGACAAACCTGGATAAACCCATTCAGACTTCTACTATTCAGTTTCTCTAAATATAGTTAGAATCCACAGTTTCATGTCTTCAATTAAATGTTCATTGTACTAAATTTTATCCTAATAAGGTAGTTTTTCCATTATCTTCTTCCCCCACCGCACCCCCTGTCAGCTTCAAGTTTTTCTTTTCTCTGTCATATATGATTGCATTCCCTTCTAATCAATAGATCACTTGCGCTGAGTATTGTCACATCAAACTACAGGTCTAAATAATATTTAGTTTTACAATATATATACAATGTGTGTAAGTATATATGCACACACACATGCATTAGAATATACATATGTATATGTGCATGTATTGGAATGGCATACTGTTGGCCAAGGAGAATATATACCAATGCTATATATTATATATATATACATATATATATACACACACACACACACACATATATATATATATATGTATGTATATATATCTTCTCCCAACCCAAATACTGTGATATTTTTCAGGTTTTGTCAGAAATATTCTTTTAACTCATATGGACATAATTTGGACCTTATTTCTCCACACATACATTTTTCAATTATCAATATTATTTTGTTAATGTGTATGCCACATTTTATTATTTTTTACAATTTAAAAAATGTTTTATTGAAGTATAGTTGGTACACAACATTATATAGTTTCAGTTGTCTAACAGTGATTTGACAATTACAAACAAAATGCTCAGCATGGTAAGTGTAGTTACCATCTGTCAAGATACAAATTATTACAATATTATCGGCTATATTCCCTATCCTGTACTTTCATCCCTGTGACTACTTTATAATTGGAAGTTTGTACCTCTTTATCTCCTTCACCTATTTGCCCATCTCCCATCCCTATTATTATCAATATTATTAAGTGCAAATAGCCCAGTAATTTCCAATTGCTTTTGGACAAATACAACCAAATAAGATACAATTTCACTGTACCACTGAAGAATTATTTTAAATCTTATTTATTATAATTTAAGGCTTTATCCACAGAAGACTTCTGATTCTGCCTCTGACACAGGATGATTCAAAACACTCAGTCTGGTGATGACACATGTGTAAATCTGTGTGCACGCTAATAAAAATCATACTTTGTGGTGGTATCAAGGAAGGTGGAGGCAGGGAAGTCTCGATGAGCAGAATTCCGGAGGGGGACAAGCCTCGTGGAGAGGCAGAGGCCACCACAGCCTCCAGGCCTGGGAAGCCGCCAAGCTCAGTGTCCACAGGCCGAGGAGGGGGACGTGCCTGGAGCCAAAAGGGGACTCCTGGGGGTGAGGAGAAAAGAGCCCAGCTCAGAGTTACAGTGCAGGCTGGCAGGCGAGATGGAAATCCGGAAGAGCCCTAAATAAAAACCAAACAAATCCCTCAGCCCTGGGGTTGCCCCTCATTCCCGGATTTGTGCAGAGGGCGGCAGAGGGGAGGCGCCGAGGCCTGCGGGCTTTCTGGGGCATCCCCGCAGTGGCTGATGCCAGAGACTTGCTGAAAGCTGAACGCAAGGGCTGATGTCAAAATCAAAGACTTCTTCCCCTCGACGGTGGTGGCCCAGAAGCCTGCGACTTGGACCAACCAGAGGGGAGCTCAGCTGAGCTCTAGCTGAGGCCCCGCCCAACTCCCGGTCAGCTAACCACTGGTGAGCTGGTAATGGCCGTCACTCAGAGGAGCTACAAGACACGGAGAAAGTTTTCTCACCCTGGGAAAGAGAAAACGAAATTCTTAAAAATTCTTCACATTTCAGGAAAAAGAATTTACGGAAGACTCTTGCTTTACGATTGCAGCAAGTTTTAGTTGTCACGTCCTTTAACTGCCATCCCATATTTACATTATATTTGCCTCAAGTTTTTATTCATTATCTTTGGTGCAGAAACCAAGCCCCTTAAAGGAAATAATAATGGGCTATGCCTCACTTTCCAAGTTTGCCTTCAACGGGATCTGCACACTTACCACGGATATGTTTTTTTAAGAAAATACTTAAAATGTTCATTGCAAATGTTAAATTTCTCCTGTCTATTATGCCATTTCCTTTTATCACCTTTTGAACTAAAAGATATTTAATATAGAAGGACTAAATTAAAAACAATTCTTTTTCACCTAAGAAGAGGTGGGGGTTCACCATCCCCTCTTTTGGGGCTGCTCAAAAACTGCGATCTAGCCAGGATTCAAAAGTACTCCCTTTCTCACTTGATGACACAGCCTTGGAAAAATTAAACCTGTTACATCTCTATCATGTTTTATAAGCAGTTCTTATCAGCTCCAAAGATATATTTCTTCTTGAGCCTAAGTCTATCCCCTAAAAAGAAACCAAGAGTTTTTAATAACTTTAATTTATAAAACTGCAGGTCCATACAGTTCCCCCTTTGTAGTCTTTCTTTCCAAATTCACCCATTTATTACAAAACAAAAGATTAAAACATACAGTCTTTCTATGTCTACAACTGGAAACTGTTTTCAGTTAAATACCTGTAACTGTTTCTATTCAAGTTATTCCAAACATGCTGTTATTTTCAAGACTCTAAGGTCTCAAACATTTTTAGACTCAACTGAGGATATATTTTCATGAATCTTAGCTGGTCAGTGTCCCGGATCCTTTGGAGGGCACCATTCCCAATGTTTATCAGCAAGGAAGGATTCCTATGGATTGGCACTTGGCACCTTTTCCAGCCTGCTTCCTGGGCGCAGAGGCTGGATGAAAACATGTAAGGGAGCCCCTCCGGTACTGGAGGCATTTAGCACGTTAGCTTAGAATCAAGCGCCGTCCCAAGAGCTTTGGAAGACGCAGCTGGGTGAAAGCCATGTTTCTGCTATTTTCGCTGCTTCTGCTAGTAAGCGGAGCCCCACGGGTGCTGGATTTTTTGTGCCAGGTGCCAGAGTCTGGTGAAGAGACAGGGCAGGAGGTGTCTTGGCCAGCACAGCCCTAACAGGCGTGGCTGGAGCTGGAGCTGACTGTGAGGGGCAAGATTCTAGATATCAGCTAAGGCTGCGTAGCCCCGCAGCCCACGGCTCTGGAGGGGTGCTCCTTGCCCCAGCTTCCTGACAGAAGCACAGTGACAGCTTGTGGCTGTCTAGGAGGCTCCCTGGAGAGGGCCCGGCGCAAAGCCTGCTCTCCCGGCAGGCCGTGCTGGTCACTTGAGAGCACTGAGTTCGCACAGTAACTCCTGGCACACGCGGCCGTCCAGTAGGGAGCCCAGGTTCAGGGTAGGAAAACCAGAGAAGAATCACGGGGCTGCTGGGCACTGAGGAGGAAGGGGGCAGCTGCTGGGCTGTGGCCGGTAGAACAGGGTGTTCCCGGGGTTGGAGGGGCGGGGGTCGGTCCTAAAGGACCAAGGAAAACGCTGGCTTCAAACACCTGCCCGGCCCAGAAAGAGAGAGACGACACCTTGGGCAGCACCAGTGAAGGAAGTTCTCTGCTCTTTTGTCTGTTTTGATCTCAGGAGGTTAAGAAACCGGTTTGTAAGCTTGGGAAGCTGAGAAACATTAAGTGGGGGAAAACAAGAGAAACTTGCTGCTTCCCAGCCCCTTTACATATACCCCCACCCATCCACGCACATCAGATACTGCCTGAGGAAAAAGAGAGGATTCACTTTAAGTTCAAGGCTCTAAGTATGGACTCGGCATGGTTTTGATCACATAGTGATCAAAAAAATTACAGGACTGCCTTAAGTTTTCAACCAGGAGCAGGAGAAGCACGCCCTACACTGAATAACTTCTAAAGAGCCCGGGGCAAGCACCATAAAGATGGTCTTTGATTACATTTCCTGAGACCTGCTTGCTCACTGGTATAGAGACTTTATCTGGGGGGTCAGTTTTCAGTTGCTGGAGTGCTTTACCTATAAATGTTTGGCAAACTAAATGTTGAGATATTTGAGTAGTATTTTGTATGGACAAAACACATTTTTGATCTCACGGATAAATTGCACCTTTGTCTCCATTTGAAATGCAGTAGGGTTGAGGGGTCATCTGAGGTCAGGTTTTAAACAGGAAAAGGACTGTGAGGGTCTCTTTTTGTTTATAGATTAATAGTTACTTTAGTAGTTATAAAGTCACAAATCTTAATTTAGCCTTTGAAATTCAATGCTAATATTGTTTTAGTTTATTTGCAAACCTAATAAAAAAATAATCACTGCAAGAGGGATGTTATCATTCACAGAATTTTATTATTGTAAACATTTTAAATGACTTTTACAAACTTAATATATTTGATTTTCTTTTCAAGTATTTCAACGGTGTACAACAGTATGTAATTCTTACAAATATAGTAAATTAAACTTATTTTTGTATCCTTCCAATGTCAACTTATAAATCTATGTTAATTGCTTGATTATTCATTTTAAGTTGGAATCACAAAACTGATTTTTGGTATTCTAATTGCTAAATTGTAAAAATGTTATGTACTTATAGCAAGATATCCAAATCATTCTTAAATGTGTTATGCATTATAATAGTAGTAAATATTAATGAAATTAATAACCCATATTATTCTATATTTAATTTTATGTTTCCAATAATTAAAAGACATTTACCCACATTAGAAAATTAGACATCCCAGACAAGATGAGATTCACTGTGTACTGTTTATCTTCCAGACTGATATCCCCGAAAATGGTGATTTTACTAATTACATCACATGACGTCATGTGCTTGCCCTAGAATTTCGTTTGCCCATCCCCACTGGTTTGCTCCAGCTTTTCACTGAGTCGGACTGTGATTAACACCTTGAACACACAGTTTTTCATTTCTTAATATTTCCTTCAGATAAGCATCTGAAAGATGTGGCCGTTCTCAGAACTTCTGATATTTTCTGAGCGCCTTCCCAAAAGCCTGTCCTCATTTGCATACCATGAATATTGTAACCCCACGACTCTCACCATATTCCCAGCAGCACCCAGTATGGTCATTGCTATTATTTCATCATCTCTGCCAATGTGAACATGGCAAATGAAGTCTCATTATTCGGGGTTCATTTATTCCGCTGCAAGTGCGGTTGAACGTGTGTCCCTGTTCCCTGGGCACTGAGCTTTCGGGGGATCCCTCACCTTTGGCAGGCAGGTGGGATGCGGCCCGGTGGGGCTGAGCGGAGACCCGGGGCGTGGAGCTGCCGCCGTCCCGGGCCCCACGGCCAGGGGGCGCTGCGACCTCAAGTCCCCCGGCCGGGGCCGGACTGGGGCGGGCGGCCGGGGAGCCGGCGCGGCCCGTGAGCAAAGGTTGGAGTTTTCCGCCCCCGCTCTCGCCAGAGGGGCCACGGCATCATGACGGCTGGAGCCCAGCTCCGAAGCAAGGCGGCGGGCAACCTCCTGCGCGGCGGGCCCCGGGGCCGCGGGCGCGCGAGACGGGACGAGGAGGCTGCCCCCATCCTGGAGCTCCTGGAGCTGGGGGACGCGGCCGCGGAGGGCGCGGGGCTCCGCGGCGCGCGGAGGGTGCACCTCGCCGTCCTGCCCGAGCGCTACGAGCCTCTGGCCGAGCCCGCGCCCGAGGAGCAGCCCCGGAGGAAGTACCGGCAGAGGCTGAAGAAGTACGGCAAGGTAGGGGCCCGCGCCCGCCCGCCCCTGCCCCTGCCCCGGGTCGGCAAGCGGGGCGCACCTCCCCGCTGCCCCGCCCGAGGCCAGGAGCGGTCACCGTCCCACGGCGCTCGGCTTCCCCGGGCTGCCCCCCAACTCCCACCGCCTCGCCAGCCTTCGCTGCTAGAGCCCCGAAATCTGTTCAGCCTGTGAGCTGAGACGGGAGGGAACAGTAAGTTGCAGGTCATGATAGAAGCTAAATCCCAGCTTTACGGGGCACCGTTCCACCCGCCGCCGGCTGCTGGCTGGCTCCTAGCATCCCCAAGGGGCACTCACCAAGGTGGTTCTTACCCTAGTTGTGTCTTGACACTCCCTGTATAGCCGGTGGGACAGAAATCAGGGTCTTTGTTTTACAAATGCCAATACTGGGGAACCAGCGGGGTTCAGTGACCTGTAGAAGGAGCCCCAGTAGAAAGTAGGGAGTTGCAGCCCGGTTTACCCCTTTTCCCTGCAGCATTCTCGCCAGGATGTCCCGCCAGCTGAGATCATTCTCCCAAATATCCCCATGGTTCTGTCCACGGCCAGAGAGCGCTTGTTGAATCTCCTTTCCTCATCTCCGAGGCAGCTGTGTACTCGGGGGCCTGCAAGCATTCTGTGGCCAGCTGCCCTGTGGCTGCGGGGCTGGGGACCAGAGAGAGGGAGAGGGGAAAAGAGAATATGAATATGGATAAGGAGAAAAGGGCAGTTTGCTGCCCAGAGATCAAAGCCCAGAGGTGGTTCCCAGGTTCCTCTGCCCAGAAGCACTCAAACCGCTGCCTCACTGCTCCGTGGGGCTGGACAAGGCCACCCAGACAAAAATCACAGCACTCATGTGTCCTGGCCAAAACTACGGGCCTGCCCCGATGTATTGTCCTGTTATCTGTCTCCTCCAGTTACTCTTAGCAGATCTAAAATCATCCAGTCTCCATACCTAGCAGCTTAGGTTAACATCTTCTTCAAAGGTGTGTCAGCAGCTTGTGGTCAGTACACAAACAGGCAGTGGGCACATCCCAATACAAACGATCGAGTTGGGACTTTCCGGTTCAGTCATGCTAGGACTCACCACCCTCTTCCTGGTCTCAGTTGAGCACAAAGAAGCCATCGTGTGCCTCTCGGCTGGTGACCTGATAATGTGGAAATCTCAGCTCAGAGGCTGGCACTTGTCTTTTGGGCCCTTCACTATGAACCAGGCATTGTGGGGAGCACTAGAGACACACAAATAGATACCAGGCAGTCCTGCCTACAGAGAGGTCTGCAGCCCCCCCAGGGACATGCTGGCATAGTGAGGGCACCGCCCTGGCTAATCCTCAGGGAGGAGCTTGTGAAGTCAGGGAAGTGTTCACATAGGGGTGACATGTAAACAGGGCACAGAAAGATGAGTAGAGGTCTCACAGGTTAATGATATAGTATTCACAAGCACTGGAATGGCTGCTGCTTAAAAAAACAAACAAAAACAGAAAATAACAAGTGCTGGTGATGATGTAGAAAAAGTGGAATTCTTGTAAATTGCTAGTGGAAAAATTAACCACCTGCTGTCAAAAACGGTTTGTTGGTTCCTTAAAAATTAAACAGAGAATGACCTGATGATCTGACAATTCCACTCCTGGGTATATGCCCAAAAGAACTGAAACAAACATACACCCAAACACTCACTTGTTCACAGCAGCATTATTCACAGTAGCCAAAAGGTGGAAACAAGCACCCATCAAGTGATAAATGGATAAACAAAATGTGGTAGAGACTTTTCGGTGGTACAGACAATGGAATAATACGGTTCAGCCATAAGAAGGAACGCAGCCCTGACACCTGCTCCAGCACGGAAGAACCTCTAAAACATTATGCTAAGTGAAAGAAGCCAAAGTCATCTATGTATATATGATTCCATTTATATAAAATATCCAGAATAGGCCAATGTAAAGAGAGAGAGAATGTGGGTTGGTGGTTACCAGGGAGGAGCAGAAGGAGAGAGCAACTGCTTCACGGTCTGGCTTTTCCTTCCGTGGCAATGAAAGTGCTTCGGAAGTAGACAGAAGCAGTGGTTACACAATATCATGAATGTACTAAATGCCACTGAACTGTTTACTTTAAAATGGTTAATTTTTGTGTTATATGAATTTCTCAATTTAAAAAAAAGAAAAAATTTCACCCCACAGAGAGAAGGGGTGCCACCCAAGGCAGAAGGGATGGTGGACGCCGAGATGTGGCCATGCGGTAGTGCTGCGGCATCACGCACGAGTTGCAGGAGGCCAGGGGAGGGGACATTGTCCTGTTAGATCGGGAGCACCCTTTCTGCCCTTCAGCTTGCACTTTCTCCGAAGCCACTGAGAAGGAACCAGTTAGACTGTAGCGTGGAAGGAGGAAGTTAGTCCATCCCTCTTTGCTGAAAGCCGTGAGAACAGCCAGGAAATGTGCCGCTCAGCTAGAAATGTGGGGCAGTATCGTCCTAGCTTTAGTCATCAGGTGACATTTTATCTTACTGGGGCCCAGTGGGATGAGGAGTGACCCGCAAACACTGGACATGATTCCCAAATGGCTTTTCCTTCAAGGTCAAGTGAAGTTCCCGTTTGTCGGCTAACCTCTCAAGTCCTTCCCTGGAGCCCCTTCCTGCTTCAGTTCAGAGAAAGGTGTTTGGCCTTTGTGACATGTGGAAGATAGGCTTCTCATCCCCTGCTGCCGGTGGCCCCGACCTGGGGTTGACCCTGTGTGCTGAGCTGGTTCAGCCTGGAAAGAGGCCATGGGCTTGGAAGGCTGTGTGCCTGAGACTCTCACTGCTCAGCATTCCCAGGTGGTTTTTAAGTAACATATTAGTGCTCACATGGTGCCTTAATTGTTGTTCAAGTGCTGCTTTCTGGATGCAGGGAAGGGGAAGGAACATACATTTCCTGTGCTGCTACCAGCTGCAGGGGGCTTTGCTGTGCACTTTATGTGAGGTCTCTCTGAATCTGCTCAAGAGCCTCAGAAAGCTGTAGACCCCATTTTTCAGGAAAGAAAACAGGAGTTTAAGGAAGTTTAGCCATGTGCCTATGCCATGCAGGTAGAGAGTCGCATTGCTGGGAGGCAGGAATCCCACCTGGCCCCTGCCTGTGCAGAAACAGTTGGGGTGAGGGAGGAATTGGGGCGAGGGAACAAACCCCAAAACTTAGGTTAGGTTAAGAGGTCACCTTTCACATCACCTCTGAGAGCCACAGGAGAGGTGTGAATGAGGAAAGAAATTAAAGCTTGTTAATCGGGCAGCTAGGACAGGGTTGGAGAGATGACGTATGGGTGGTGGACTAACGTTTAGCTCAAGAGGGAGAAAAATGTGCCCAGGCTCTAAGTAGTAGGTAAGAACATGGGAAGTGCTGCCAGCCTGCCGGGTGCCAGCCCTGCCAGGCCACCCCCGGCTGGGTGACCTCGGGCTATGCCCAGTTTCCTCCTCTGTAGCATGGAATAATGTTAGGATTGTGGTAAGGAGTAAATGTTTATCCGTACAGAGGTCTTGCACCTGGCACACGGCAAGGGTTCCCTAACTGTTGGCTATTATCTAAGGTGGTGGAGGAGAGGCCCCGTACCTCTGTTTTATTCTTATTCATTTTTGATGATCTCTAACTCGGAAAAAATTCAGCTTGTGTACTGACTGCCCCCCTTAGCTTTGTGCCTGGGTCCTGACCAAATTTCACAGCTGGAGTCTTGATCTTGATATTCAGGGAAAGTGGTCTTTGTAAGTCCCTGACATCACTGGGGATTCACTGAATACCTAGGAACCGCCAGAAAACCTCATTCCTTGTTTGAGTTTCCTATGGCTGCTGTCACTGATTATCACAAAGGCAGTGGTTTAGGACAACACAGATTTCTCCTCCTATAGCTCTGGGGGCCAGACGTCCAAAAATGCCTTCCTGAGGGATAGTCGGCAGGCTGGTGGCTCCTGGAAGCCCTGCGGGAACCTGTCTCTTCGCTCTTTCCAGCTTCCAGAGGCCCCCTTCCTCCATCCTCACAGCCAGCACCGTGGCCTGGGCAGTTGTCTGTCTGTCTGTCTGCTTCTGCCTCTGTATCACCGTCTGTCTGACTCCTGCATCGCATCTTAAGGACTGTGATCCTTGTCAGGATCCTTATAAAGATATTAGGATCCTTATAATGATTGGCCCAGGATAATCTCCCCATCGCAAAATCCTTAATTGGATCACATCTGCAAAATCCCTTCTGCTGGATAAGGCGCCATATTTACGGGTTTGGGGGATTAGGACATGGGCATTTGGTGGGGGGCATTATTCAACTTGCCATGTTCCGCCATGCTCCCCATACCTCAGAATATCTCTGAGAGATTACTGTGGTTGACAGGTCTATTCAAACCAAAGAATTCAAATCTGTTCCCTGGAATGACACAGGAATGGTCATTGATAGGTAATTTTACGTTTCATTGCATCACATTTCTCAAATCTGTGTTTTGACAGTGTTCCAACTAATGAGCTATTTTAGTACCTCTTTTTTCTAAATCTAAAGATGAAATGACAAGCGGTTTTTAAAAGTAGGCCAAGGAAAATGAAGGTACACTTACCAAAACTGTCGAGTTTAATGCAGGCCACCTGTGATTCTGGTGGCATTGCTTATCAAGGATGCTCTTGACCATCATCCTTATGTAGAAGTTACCTGGCTCTCTCCATTTAGCCTGAGAGGTAGCCGAGGAAACACCAGGCTCTTCCTGCTTGCTGGGATTCAGTAACGTGCGCCAAGTCCCCACCCTCCTTCTGTTACCATGAGGCCCATCGAAAGCTGAGGTAAGCCAGAAACCACAGGAAAGCACCCACTTAAGAAACCTTCATGAACAGCCAACAATGTATCTTAGATTTGAATATTACTGTCATAAACCTAAATGACTATGCAATAAAAAGAGGCAGGTGTTACTTTCAATTAGCATAGCTGCCATGCAGGCACTCACACCGCCTCTCGTTTGTACCAGGCACTGAGGGCTTTCCTTACGTAAACCCACTTAATCCTCTTAGCCCAGTGGAGTGGTTTCTAAATATTCCTGTTTTATTGGTAAGGAAATTGCGACCAAGGAAGGGTAAGTAAGGGCTTGCGCTGGAATTGAAGCCCAGGCCACAGGCGGGTAACAGTCGGTTTACATACTGCCTTCACTACAAAGGAAAGCATATATGGGACTGAGGATACAGGCCCTGAGATGGGGTCTCCCTGGGATTGAACATCAGCTCCGCCTCTTACCAAAGGTATAATCATGGATAAACCTGACTCCTCAGTGCTTTTTCTTACTGAAGCCTGATGGCCACAGGCCACCAGGAACAGACCGGTAGCCAGTCCAAGTTGGGAGAATTGTTTGGTACTCAGGGAGTGTGTTTTCTGAGGGTTTGTCTGTGTGAAAGACCCGAGACCTCAAGTGGAGAGTTCGGTCTTTGAGTCTGAACCAAAGATACAAATTTGGGAGTTATTGGCATACAGGAAATAGTTAACATATTGGAAATGAATGAGATCACCAAAGGCAAGATACCAGGCAAAGGAATAAAAAATAGAGAATCAGACCCAGGAACGAGGGCTGAAGAGCCCCAGCATTTTGGTTTGATAGAAGAGATAATCCAGTAAAGACAGCTGAGAACCAGCTGCCTGGGAGGTGGAAGAAAACAAAGAAAATACAGAGTCAAAGGAGCCAAATGACTGTTTCATGGAGTGTGTCAAAAGCTGCCGAGAGGTCAGGGATCAGGGAAGACAGAAAACTGCCCACTGGCTTGGGCAGCATGAAAGCTGCAGCTGGTCAGGACTAAGCTGAGCTGGACGGGGGGACAGGCGCCGAGTAAGAGGGTCTAGGAGGGGCGCAAGTGGAGGCAGCCTGTGGGGACAGCTGTGCACTGGCTTGGCATGAAGGAGGGCAGAGACCCAGCTTAGGACCTAGAGGAGGATGTGGAATCAAGGGGATCCTGAGCACGTGTCAGCTTATGATCCAGTGGGGAGGAGGCAAATGATGAAGCCAGGGGAGAGAAAGCCAATGGCATGGTGAGAGAGGGACTGATGGCAGGTGTTATGGGGCCAGCCCGGGGGAAGAGCGCGAGGCGGGAGAGGCCAGGGCAGCTGTGGTTTGCAGACAGTGAGCAGGGGAACAGGTTCCTTAATGACTTCTGACCTTTTCCATGAAAGACGAGTGGGATCATCGAAGGAGGGTATGGAGACTGTGTTTGTTTCTGTGTGTTAGGGATGAGAGAAAGAAAAAGGTAAGATGTATTATCTGGGAGAGAGGGACAGACAGCCTACTAGACAGACAGAGCAGGCTTCCATGAGGTGTTGTTCTGTGATTGTGATCAGGGATTCCAAGTGAAAGCAGCAATATTAAGTGGTTCTCAGAGCTGGGAAAGTCAGAGGGCTGAGCAGCAAGGTGTATGAGGAGGTCCAGGTCATCTACACGGACCCTGACTTCGTTAAGAATGACAGAAGTGGGAGGTGGAGAGACACAATAGGATATGCAATGCCAGCCATTGGTTTTTTGTTTGCTAGTTTTTTTCTGCTATTTTATTTCCGTTGCAAGTCCATTGGAACCCCTTGGGTGTCCCCTGTCTAGCACCAGTCCTCGAGGAGTGGATACCAAGAAAGCACGGCCCAGCCCTTACTCTGAAGGAGTGCACTGTTGTAGTGTAAGAACCCTGTGGCTCCAGCAGAGAACAGCAGGATCTTGAGAGGCACCTGTGTGGATGGACAGGATGCCCTGGAGGTGGAAGGAGGACAGGGTGGGCTTTCAGATAAGACGAATGAAGGAAAACTTGACCCAGCCTGCAGATGTCCAGTATCTTAGCTGGAACAGAGAAGGAGATGGGGCTTTGGTTTAAAAAACAAAACAAAACTATGGCCATCCTGCCTAAAGCAATCTATAGATTCAATGCAATCCCTATCAAAATACCAACAGCATTCTTCAACAAACTAGGAAAATTTTTCTAAAATTCATATGGAACCACAAAAGACCCCGAATAGCCAAAGCAATCCTGAGAAGGAAGAATAAAGCTGGGGGGATATTACATTCCCAACTTCAAGCTCTATTACAAAAGCACAGTAATCAAAACAATTTCATACAGGTGCAAGAACAGACCCATAGGTCAATAGAGACCTATGAACCAGACCAGAATAGAGAGCCCAGATATAAAACCACACATATATGGCCAATTAATATATGATAAAGGAGCCATGGCTATACAGTGGGGAAATGACAGCCTCTTCAACAACTGGTATTGGAAAAATTGGACAGCTACATGTAAGAGAATGAAACTGGATTATTGTCTAACTCCGTACACAAAAGTAAACGAGATGGATCAAAGACCTGAATGTAAGTCATGGAACCACAAAACTCTTAGAAGAAAACACAGGCAAAAATCTCTTGAATATAAACATGAGCAATTTTTCCTTAACACATCTCCTCAGGCACAGGAAACAAAAGCAAAAATGAACAAGTGGGACTACATCAAACTAAAAAGCTTCTGTACAGCAAAGGGCACCATCAGCAGAACAAAAAGGCATCCTACAGTATGGGAGAATATTCGTAAACAACATCCAAAATATATAAAGACCTCATGTGCCTCAACATCCAAAAAGTAAATAACCCAATTAAAAAATGGGTGGATGATCTGAACAGACACTTCTCCAAAGAGGAAATTCAGATGGCCAACAGGCACATGAAAAGATGCTCCACATCGCTAATTATCAGGGAAGTGCAAATTAAACCACAATGAGATATCATCTCACACCAGTTAGGATGGCCAGCATCCAAAAGGCAATGAACAGCAAATGGTGGTGAGGTTGCAGAGAAAGGGGAACCCTCCTACACTGCTGCTGGGAATGTAAACTAGTTCAACCATTGCAGAAAGTAATATAGAGCTTCCTCAAAAAACTAAAAATAGAAATACGATTTGATCCAAGAACTAACTCCACTCCTAGGAATTTACCCGAAGAAAACAAGTTCTCAGATTCAAAAAGACATATGTACCCGTATGTTTAATTGCAGCACTATTTAAAATAGCCAAGATATGGAAGCAACCTAAGTGTCCATCAACAGATGAATGGATAAAGGAGATGTGGTACATATACACAGTGGAATATTATTCAGCCATAAGAATAAGACAAATTCTACCATTTGCAACAGCATGGATGGAACTGGAGGGTATTATGCTCAGTGAAATAAGTCACGTGGAGAAAGACAAGTACCGGATGATTTCGCTCATCTGTGGAGCATAAGAACAAAGAAAAACTGAAGGAATAAAACAGTAGCAGACCCACAAACTCTAAGAATTGACTAATGGTTACCAAAGGGAAGGAGCTGGGGAGGGTGGATGGGGAGGGAGGGAGAAGGGGATTAAGGAGCATTATGATTTGCACACATAATGTATGGGGGTCATGGGGAAGGCAGTGTAGCACAGAGAAGACAAGTAGTGACTCTTTAGCATCTTACTACACTGATGGACAGTGACTGCAGTGGGGGGGGACTTAATAATATGGGTGAATGTAGTAACCATAATGTTGCTCATGTGAAACCCTCCTAAGATTGTATATCAGCGATACCTTACAAAAGAAAAAAAAAACTAGTTTGGTTTTGGAACTAGCAGCCTCATGGCTGTTTCCGGGAAGATCTCTGATTTATCTGGAAACGTGCAGTGCTTGAAAGCACTTTGCAAGGGGAAGGCGCCTGTTCTGAGCCCAGACCTGGTCTTACGTTGGAGGTGGGTGTCAGATCCCAGGCACATGGAGACCTCGGAACTTGCTGACTTGCTCTAGGAGAAGGAGGTAAACTGCCTCTCTACGTATGTCACCACTGCCTCTCTACGTATGTCACCACCGTGTGTGAGGGATTACAACAGGGCCTAATCTAACCTTTGCTTTTCTCTTCTGTTCCTAAAAACAGAATGTCGGGAAGGTCATCACCAAAGGGTGCCGCTACCTGGTCATCGGCCTGCAGGGATTCGCGGCGGCCTACTCCGCCCCGTTTGGGGTAGCCACCAGCGTGGTGTCACTCGTCCGCTAGTGGGATCTGCTGAGGCAGACGCCACAAGAACGGGGGAAGCCTCTGCTCTGGGACCAGTGCAAATCCAAGAACATTTCAGACTTGAACTCACAACATACTTGGGGGAAAAAAATTGTCTTTGTTGAACTGGATGTGTGATGAATGAGACACCTCTGCCCATCTGCTGAGCTCTTCCCGACTCTGGGCATCCGGGGCTCTGGTGGACAGTTCTGCGGAGAATTAGGCTTGTAGAAGCTCTGGGATTCAGGTTGGTTTGCCAGCACGGGGGAGTTCACGTGAAGGTAGCATGGGGCTGGTGTGGGGGCAAGCGCTTGGCAGATAAGAGCATGCTGGGTGAGTAGTGGGGTGGTGACTGGGGGGCAGAGAAAAGGAGATGAGCGACTTGATTTGCTGTATGTTCCAGAAAAAGTTAGGCTGGTGGGGTGCTCATGGCACTTGGCTGCCTCAGCTCCAGGGCAGCAAGGGAGCTGTTGTCTCCAAAGGCATGTCCCCATCTCCTTCCTCTGCCCCTTTGTCACCAGGAGTTTAATTACAGGCTTGAGAAAAAGGACGGAGCAAACATCTCTTTGAAGACGAGGTTGCTTGGAAAACTCTGTTGATGATCTGTCGTGACTGTTGAAAGTTTAAAACGGTGTCAGTTTCACGCTTCTGAGGAGCAGCAAGTTCAGAGGCAGGCAGGGCGGGTGGGAGAGGCTGGCTGAGGGAGTGCCCCCGAGGGCTGTGTGCCCAGTCCAGCCCGGCTGGTCCTGCCTCGTGCTTGCACCCATGTGGCCGGCTGATGTCGTGGACCTCCTGACCCAGCTGCCGAGCACCATCAGCTCCTTCATGTCAGGACGAGGAGGGGTGCTTCGCCTTGGGAGAGAGGGAGGTGCCACACCTGGAAAGGACAGTGTGTGATTTAGAGAAGGATCCAGAAGTAGGAGACAGGTGTGCAGGATAGAAGCAAGATAGGACGGATGCTGGCCAAGAGAAGCGCGAGCCCAGGGAGGCTAGGACCCAGGTTGGCCTCCCAGCACTGGGAAATCTAGGTGGGCTGCGATTCTGACTCCCAGTAGGGGCCAGGGGAAGCTGGGTGGCTGGAGGGGCCACGGCTGTTGCTTGCAAACCCTCTGAGGCTCATGAGCTCATATTGTCTGCCTTTGTAACATCCTTTCCTCTTCTGTGCTGCCCAGTTTGACCTCATCTCACGTGGATTCAAAGGTTATCATAGGCATGGTCCTGGGCTGGACATTCCCCAGATGACCCGTGGCCTGCCCCCTGGACCACTGGACAGGATGGTGAAAGAAAGAGGGGATCCCTCTTACTGTGTCCTTCTGCCAACCTCCAGGATAGCCACTGTTCTGATTTTGGTCCCAAATAGCTATTGCTGACCAGTCTGTGGGGTCTGTGGTGATGCCTGTGCTGCCCAAGAGGTTTCTCAGGCCAAGCAGAGGAGGCCTCCACACTCATGCTTTACCAGTCAAGCCCAGTCAGGTGGCATCAGGACGCGGAGAAGGTGAGTTAGACGGACAGGCTGACAGAAGCAGAAATGCGTGGAGAATTCTGTAGGGTGAGGCTAAATTCAGTGTCACGTTGTGGAGATGAACTTGGATCCAGTTCCTGCATCATTACTATCTGTGAGGAAAAGAGAAAACAGATGGTCTTGTTTCGGCTCAAATGATGAAAGTTGAGAATGGCACATTTCCACACAAGCTAGACAATTACAGCCTGCCTGGCCACGCTGGGAGTCCCAGAAAGAAGAGGTGGAATTGGAGACAGCAGAGCTTGGTTTAGTGGGAGTCAGGGAAGTGCAGCGTGCTGGTCACAGGGAAGGAAGACGGGGCTGGGGGGGTCTGGTGGGCTTGGAGGCGCCCCTCCCCGTTGCTCAGCGGTGCTGCCTGAGAAGGCTGTTGAGTCTCCTTGGGGAAGTCGGGGTGGGAACCCAGGAAGGGTCAGAGCTGTTGAGGCCTGTCTGAGACGTTCCCCACCCACCCCCCAAACAGAGGCACTGTAAGGTCAAGCACATCCGGCCCTGAAATTCTTGAAGTCTAGCTAAGAATTAACCCAGAAATTTTGGAAGTCAGACCTCATGGGGGTTGTCCTGGGAGCCCCGTTCATGTGTACAGAAGATGAATTCCAAGCTGTCGGTCATTCCCCTGAGGCAGGGCACCCACATTGCAGCCTATATTTTTGCCTTTTCTCTTCAATTAATTTTTTTAATGTCAGGGTCCACACCCTACTGAGTCCCTTTACAGGCTTGACCAAGAGGCTTCTTTTGTATCCTTTTCTTGCCCTGTTATGTAAATAAAACCCCCAATTTGTTTCATGCATCTGTGTGAGATTTTTTTTTTCTCTCCTAAGACTCTTCTGTAGCATCCAGCTGAGGCTGACAGCTTCCTGCGGCAGGGGCGGCCTGTCAGGGGACCTGCCTGGGGCCCACCAGGAGCCCGGGGGGCCTCACCCGCCTGGAACTCGGCATGGGTGGTGTAGGGGGGCGTCTCAGGCAGCCCAGCAGAACAGGCTTTCTGGTGCAGGAACCTCAGCTGACACGATGGAAATCTCTGATTTGGATTTAGTTTAGAGCCTTGTGTAGGGTCAGGAAACTGTTTCCACAGGTAGCTTCAGGGATTCTGGGAAATGCCGGCCCCTGGGGGGCTGCTGAAGGTTTCAACTGCCAGTGTGTCTGAGCTGGGAGCCCGGGGCCCGGGGGGGCCTGTGCTGGGCTTGGGTAACGTACCCACTAACCTGCCCACACACTAAGTCTTCACAGAAGTGGTGGGAAAGGTCTTCATAGACAAGTATAATTCTGTACCCAATTCCGATTTGTGAGTTTTCCAACAGTACCAATCAATTTGTAAGAGAGTGAAAGGCTTGCTACCTCCGCCTTCAGATCGTATCTGTCTCCTTTGCTGCCTTAATCTTTGGGTCAAAGAGCTTCTGCTCAGCCCTGCCGCCCTGCACGTAGGCCTGTTAATCATCAAAAGGAATTTTGCTCGACTTATGGTTGGTGCAACCAGCCCCTTACCAGACAGACTCCCCTTCTCCGAGGAGACAAAGTGCGTACTAAAATGATGGCTGGGTTGTCAAGCACTTTGGGACCATCTTGGCCAGACCCAGGTTCCCAAAATGACTGCAGTCAACTAGCCCTGGACAGGAGTGTGCCACCCTCTTCAGACCCTTGCTGACGTCCGGATGTCAGGTGGATCGTCACCTCCTGGCCTCAGCCCCTTCTGCTCCCCTTCCCTGATATAAAAGCAGTTTGAAATCAGCTCTAAGTAAAGATGGTGCTTTAGGCCACAGTCGGCCATCTTCTCAGTCCGCTGGCTTTCTGAATAGAGTCGCTTTCCTTGCCCATCACCTCATCTAGTGACTTCCTGGCATGTCGTGTGACGAGTGGCAGGAGCTTGGACTCAGTAACAAGTTCCCCGGCAGCAGCTGGGTGCTGTATGGTTTACCTTTACGATCGGCTCCCACAGGTTAAAGGCTCGGTCCTATAGGATCCCCCCCACCCCACTTCAGGCACCAGTCCCAAGTCCACGTTGCCACTGGGCTTCTGACTTGCCCAGCTATAGACGAGTGGCTCCAACAACCCCCCCACTGGGTGCTACTAACTTGTCTCACAGAGCTTAAAGAAACATTTTTGCCTACCGAATTACTGGTTTATTATAAAAGACTGTAAGTCAGGAATAGCTGGATGGGAGAGATGCAGAGGACCAGGTCGTGCGAAGGGCATGGCGCTCCTGTGCCCTCACCGAGCGCACCACTCTCCCCGTATCTCATGTGTTCACCAACCAGGAAACGCCGAACCCCCTTTCTATAGAGGCTTTGTTACATAGATATGATTGATTAAATCTTTGGCCACTGGTGATGGAACTCAATCTCCAGCCCCTCTACAGGACCATGAGTTCAGGAATTTGGGGTGGAGGTGTTGGAAACTACAAATTCCCACCCTCTAATCTCATGGTTGGTTCCCTGGCAACCAGCCCCTTCTCTGGGTTACCTGGAGGCTTTCCAAGCCGCCTCATTCACGTAACAAAAGACACCTTCCCTGCTCTCACCACTTAGGAAATTCTAAGGGCTTTTGGAACTCTGCTCCAGGAATGGGGGTGAAGACCAAACATCTATTTATTATAAATCACAATATCGCAGGAAGGTAGAGAGGAGAGGAGTGGGCTGGGTAGCCGTGAGATCACCCACCCCGGCAGGGCTGGAAGCTGCATGCGTCTGTCAGCTGTTAGGCTCAGAACACAGAGGAAGCCGGGACCTTGATGTTTCAGCCACTTTGGAATCGTCCCTGCTGTCCCTTTGCCCGGCATCTGTGCCTTTCAGTGGATCCCTCACAGGCCTCTGTGACCAAGAAGCACCCAGAAGCAGGACCTGGGCTCAGACCTCCTCCTGCACCTTCCAAGGTCTGCTGGGATGGGAGCGGCCTCAGCAGAAAACAGTGGCGGGCTGGCGAAGCCATCATCGCAGTTTGAGACGGAGCAGCTGCTCTCACAGGGTCGCACCCACGCTGTCTTCATCCCTCGCTCCTGATTCTGCAGGAGTGCAGATAAACTGAATTAACTTTGTTTGCCATCATTCACAAAATGTCTTGAAAATGTTACAATTCTCCTTGAAAACTTGTTTTATAATACAAATTATGCACAAAGTTAAAGGAAGAAAAAAGTCCTCAGCATCCTTGTGAAGGTAACATTTGAGACTCCCTGATTTTGCCAAAAGCCCAGGTGATTCCTAAAGAAAAAAAATCTGAAACTCTCTTGACCATTTGTGGAGAAATGTGGGTAAAATGAATAATGCATGTGATTTTTTTTTTTAAGAGTCAAGGTTGTTTTTGAGCCAAACCACTCCACTGAATATAGTGGCCAAGGGGCTAGGACGTGTCTGTATTTTCTCAAAGGCTCAGTGCCAGAGTCTGGTGGGTGCAGGAACCACAGAGGGCCAGGGGCTGGGAGGGAAGGGCAGGTAAGAACAAAAGCTTGATTTCTGGACATCCCAAATCCCTGCGTCTGGGGTGCTGGATGCGTTCCACTCTGCAGTTCCATCTAGAAATACAAATCCGGGTCAGAAGTCAACACCCCCAGGACAGGCTTTGCTTTTTTCAAAGGTGTATCTCTGGTGATTCCTCTTGCATAGCTTATTGACCAGGCTGTAAACCAGTGCAGGCGGCTCAAAGCTGACATAAAAATCAGGGTGAAAGTGCTGACGGACAGAGGTAGGAGCTCTTGCTCTTTAATTCCAAAGGAAACCACTTCTACTCAGACTCATTTCAGTTAAAATGGAGGAAAATAATTTGTTTGATTGTTTTGCTTCCTGTGAGAGATGTTTAGAATTGCTGAGGAAGTGGAAAGTGGCAATATTAACACCTTTTTTCTTTCTTTCTCTCTCTCTTTTTTTTTTTTGGTGGGGGACCACACTGCTAGGAAAAGAACTTTAAGTGTTTACCTTCTTTTATCATAAACAGACCCTTGAGTTAGGTACTATTATCACACTCACAGTCACAGGGCTAGAAAGCAGAGACACTTTGTGTTGCGGAGAATGGTTTGTGTATTTTGAGATCTTTAGAGTTGAGGAGAAAAAGGCATATCGGTTATTTATGGGCTTTCTTTAGCGCCATCATTTTCACCATACAAAATCCGACTTGAATTTGTCTTTCAGTGTTTACGTTTCAATGAATCAGCGAGCCATTCCTAGGGTCCCACAAGCCCCCAGTCCTGCCTGCTCCCCCTGACATACAGGATCTGACAGGTTGGTTCTGGGACGTACCGGATCAGAGAAGAGAACCAAGACACAGTGAGCATCTATGAGGTAGGAGGCGCTGTGCTGACTGGCTTAACAGCATGCTTATTTTGTCCATTTCATTTCCCTCTCCATAGCAAAGCCAATGAGATAGATATGATTATAATTATCTGGGTTTTGTAGATGAGAAAACTGAAGGTCAGGGAAGGTAGGGAATTCCACCCAAAACTAAGGCCAGGAGGCAGTGCAAGCCCTGCTGCGCTCTCTCTGCCACTTAGTTACCTCTCATTTCTCTTTCCTCTCAGACTCCTGTTACTGCCAGTGAACGTGAGGAAAAGGGAAATGTGAGTTTTTTTTGGTGCCACTGCTGCCACCACGGTGGCTCTGAAATCAGACCCCACAGCTCACTGCCTGTGTGGCCTGGGGCAAGAGGCTCAACCTCTCTGAATTGCTGTTCACCCATCTGACGAGTGGGGACAATCACTTTACCCATTTCGTAGAGTTATCAGAAGGATCCAGTAAGTTAGTTCTCAGGACAGTGAAGCCCAGAGAAAGAGCTCTGGGCGTGGAGGCCAGAAGGGGGTAGTCTCACACCCAGCCACTCCATCAATTGCAGACCCAATAGGAAGAAGCCTATACTTTCCTATCCCTGCAGGAGGAAAGGTTTTCTCCTTGGCCAGCAACAACCCAGCCAATGAGAGGCCTTCACAACTCAGCCAATGAGAAGCCACGATACTTGGAACTCCAATTTCCTCTAAAGGACTTTGTGTTTCTAACAGCCCCTCCCAACTCCTTCCTCTATAAAACAGTGGTCCCCTCCTTTGTTCTCTGGACATCTCTATAGTTTTACCATAGTTTTCCTGCTCTGAACTGCAATTCTCTACTGTTCCTAAATAAACCCATTTTTACTGGTAAAATAATCTACAGACCTATTTTTATAGTTAACAGAAGCTATAAATGTAATCACATCCAGTTTATATTCCTGGTTCCAATATTATTATCCAAGTAGTTAGAAACACTCCCCCAAATGACTTAAGGTGCTTACCAGCCCATCATCCTCTGGATTTTTTGAGATGCTGAGATTGCATAGCTGCAGGGTACAGAGGGGAGGGCACGGGGCTGAGCCAGGGGAGGGATCAGTGACCCTAAGTTATTTTGCCTCACTTCCTTGGTATGATTTCTGCAGCCACAGTTGCTAGTCCCACTGATGGGTAACACAGTACTCCCAAGGAGCCAGCCCTCCATTTTTCACCTCAGGGCCCAGGGGCCACATGCCAAAGCCCCAAGGCTACCAGGAAGCCATGCTGCACAACAGGAACAGTGCTGGCACAGGACAACCTGACTTCAAACCCCTAGCTGTGTGACCTTGGCAAGTTCCTCAGCGCCTTTGAATTTCAGGGTCTGGTTTTGGTTTAGTTTGCAAAGTAAATAGTAACTACTTCAGAGGCTTATTTGGAGGATCAGATATGGAGCATATTAAGAATAGAGCCTGCAGGATATTAAGTGTTCTCCTTCCCTAGCTTTTCCTAGCTGAAAGCTTTCCCCAACCTGGGAGAGAGAGGAAGACCTGAGGGATTAGAGGTTGGAGG